TGGGCCCCTTTTTACAATTTCAGGGAAACGTGTTGTTTGTTTCTGTGAGAGTTTCGTGGTGAAGGGTGATGCGTCAATGCCATTTTTGGGGGCCAAGTAAGGCTCTATCTATTTCGACACATCCTCATTCTGGCCAACTGTGGAACATTTGGTCATGCAAACTATTGTGAGCTGGGAACCCGGTTCAAAGCGCATCATATCAAGAAGATGACCTGGTGGCTTTCAGTGAAGGTTGGAGAGTTGTCCCAGACCTCGGTTCCTTAGCTTTGCTACCCCAAACATCGAACTTTTTTTGGTTGGCCCCGACCGCTCATTCTCAGCCCGACATACATCTTTCCCGGCTTTGCTGCCAAAGGACAGCGCCGCGATGAAGATTCTCGAAAGCTGCTGCTGGTCCTTGGCAAAGGTGACTGAGATCATGGACTCTGGTGGCCTTTTGCTCCGCCCATCAGAAGCATCAGACTCTAGTCACAGTCTGCCAAAATTTTGGTGTTTCATTGTTTAACCAATTGGCCTGCCCCCAAACCTTTGCGCAACGACCCCGAAAGCAATTGTTTCACTTTAAGGAAATGTCTCGTCTTCTTCTCCTACACCTGAGATCGACAGCGTGGTTAGCATCATATTGTTGGGAGAGAGATGTGATGGCCTTCAAATTGCGGCCGAAGCATCACTGCTTGTGGCGCATAGCAGTTGACGTGGGGATGTTTAGAGTTAACCCTCGCATCTTCCATTGTTGGAAGGAAGAGTCTTTTTTAGGAAAACTAAAGAAGATTGCACGGAGTTGTCACGGGTCGACCGTAACTACAAGGTCGCTCCAGCGCTACCTGATTGGTTTGGCGTCGCATTTTTTCTCAATTCAGGGGTGGGGTGCTGAGGCAAGGCAATGTGGTTCCCTAGCTGCCCAAATGGGGTTCTTCGCCAGAGATTCCATTCCTGTCCCCAAAACCATCCCACAAAACAGGTTGATACAACAAGTTTTTGCCTCAAAACCCAAGGGGTTGTAGCCAAGAAAAGCTTGGCGGCCAAGCTGCGGATCTGGCCAAGCTGCGAAAAGGAACCAGTGCCAGCTGTCATGGCTAAGATGGAAGGGATGTGAAAAACGAATGGTAACCTTGTCGCACTTGGGTCCCACGTTCTAAAAACTGCCGGTTTTGGCACATGACCCCGAAGGGCCCAGATTGTTGTTCTAACAGTGTTGGTGGTGTTGGGGTGGTAAATAACTCAAGACGTACACGATTGGGTCGACTACAGGACTTGGACCGGAAGGCGTTCAGTGCTGGTTTCACTCGTACTTGCAAGGTTTTGGTACAGTTTTTTTGTACAAAAATAGTGTTGGCTCAAGAGCTCCTTCGAAGCAACAACC